TGGTGAATTAAATATTTCATGATTCATATGTGGCAATGATTTCCTATATCCTCTAGGTGATCTGTTGTTTAAACTCTATAAAACATAATAATCTATTATTAATAGTCATCTCATCCAATCATTTACCCTTTCAACCACCCCTTTCCCAGCTTAAGACCTTCCTCTCTGCTCCCACCAGTGATAAAGGACGAATCTTCTGCCCCATTGGGTTTGGAGGGGGGGTGTAAATGGGGAAACCCCCCACCCTCAGATGCCGTGGGGGTGGGTGGGCGGGTGTTAGTTGTTCAAACAGGGGTCCCCAAACTTGGCAACGTGAAGACTTGTGGACTTCAACTCCCAGAATTCTCCAGCCAGCGTAGCATAGGGATCTCGGAGGTCATCTAGTCCAGGGATCACCCACCTTTTGGACCTCAAGGATCACCAAACTCCTCATTTTAAATCCCGCGGACCAAAAGACCCTGGGAAAATCCCCCCCCCCCCAAAAGCCTGCAGGAAAATCCCCCCGCCCCGTTTTCCTACCAATCGATCGTTCTTTATTTGGGATCGCAGGTGACCGTCTCCAGCTCCGTTCTCGGGGGAGACTGTTGGCTTCGTGCAAGGAAAGCAGCAGAAGCCGCAGAGGTCTTTCTTTCTCTCCCCCCAAACTCCGCCAGAAATGAGTCTTTTGTGCCAGCGCAGCCTCTTGGAGCAGGAGGCCTTGCAGGGTCCCAAAGACTCATTTCTGGTGGAGTTTGGGGGAGAGAAAGAACGACTTTGGCTGCTTTCCTTGCGTGCAGCCAAAAGCAGAAGAAGAAAGAAGCGGTGGGGGGGGGGGAAGCAGCCCGGTGGCCAGGCCAGGCGCGTGGAGCGAGTGGGACAACTTCCGCTCTTCCACCCTTTCCTCCCCTCGTGGTCTTCAACTCCCCCAAGTCTTCAAACTTGGCAACTTTTAAGCCTCGCTGGCTGGAGAATTCTGGGAGTTGAACTCCGCCAGTCTCAAAGTGGCCAAGTTTGGAGGCCTCTTGAGTGAAAAGCGGAGAGAAGAGAAGCGCGGAGCAGCACCATGGAGTCTGTGGTCCTGGGGGGGAGGGGGTTTCCCCTTCTGGAAGGCTCTGAATGGCAGAAGGAAGAGTCCGGAGCCCATCACTCCTCAGTCAATGAAGTGGGCGCTGGGGATGATGGAACAACCTGGGAAAGGGGGGGGATGGGCACCAGCCCTTTCGAGACTGGAAAAAGGCAGTGAAACTTCTGGGGGGGGGGGGGGGGGGTGGGGGGTGCCAAAAAGGGGAAGGCCTGGCGGGGGGGAGGGGGAGAGAAAGAGGCCTTTTCGGTTCTTGTCCTGGGCCAAACGCTTCAAGAGCCCCAGATTGGGGGAGGAGGAGGGGCCGTCCTCGCTCTGGCCTCTAATCACATACACACACACCCCTTCTTTTTTGGGGGGAGGGGGTGAGATCAAAAGCAGCGAGGCGTGGACGGCTTCGCTTGGTCTCGGGTGTCGGGCGATGCTCTGGGCTTTCCAGACGCCTTTCCTCCTGCCAAAAAAATGCCCCTCCCCCATCCCCACGCGTTTCAACCCCAGGGAGGGACAGAGGGGCACCTCAAAGGGCCTCCATCCCGCACCTGACCTGCCAGGACTGCTCACCTGGCACGGTTTCCATGTTTAACCCCTCGCCAGAGGCGGGAGGATCGACTAGATGGCCTCTGGGGCCCCTTCCAGCCCCTTACGAGTCTGTGCTTGTAGGTTTGAAGGGTGGTTTGTGAAGGAAGGGGTGGCTGTGCCGGGGGGCGGCGGTGTCAGGGCGCGAAGGAGCTTTGGGGGGACCCTCCTGGACCCCGAAACTCCACCTGGCCGACCTTGGCATCGCAGGCGTCCGAAGCCGGCTGCCCTCCTTCCCGCTTGCTTGCTTGCTTCCCTACAAACTCCCACTCAGGCCTCTTAACTTTCGCGCGGCCCGGTCAGGGGGACAACCTCAGGGAGCGAGGAAGGGGAGAACTGCTCCCACCTGCGACGACAGGGCCCATAATCCCCAACTGGAGACAGGTGGTGGGGGGAACGATGCCAGGAACCCGGCTGGTTCACGCGAAGCCTCCTTCGGGGTCAGGCCCAAGCGAGACCGGAGCTGAAGCTGGAGGCTTAAAACGTACAAATAACGGCGGCAGGAATTGGGGAGGCCGGGTTCGATGAAAAGAAGGACTGCGGGGTATTTCAGCAACCTTCCCATATTTGTGGGGCTGCCTCAAAGAAGAAGAGGGGGGCTACCTACTTTCCCAAGCCCCAGAGGGCAGAAACCCCAGGAACAACAGGTGGAAACTCATCAAAGAGAGAAGCAACCTCAAAGTCAGCAGAAACTTCCCACCAGTGAGGACAATGAATTAGCTCAGGGGTCCCCAAACTTGGCCCCTTTAAGGCTGGTGGACTTCAACTCCCAGAACCCCAAACTTGGCCCCTTTAAAACTGGTGGACTTCAACTCCCAGAATGCCAAATGTGGCCCCTTGAAGGCTGGTGGACTTCAACTCCCAGAAACCCAAACTTGGCCCCTTTAAAACTGGTGGACTTCAACTCCCAGAATGCCAAACTTGGCCCCTTGAAGG